CTTTTTTTGGTAAAAGTGGTTGCACAACAATTCTGAAGTAAATTTAAAAATGCTTTGACATAATAGAAGTCCAAATAATAACGAAAAACCATATCTGGGCAGCTTGGGTCTGGGGAGGGGGGAGGCACGGCTGTGGCTGTGGCTGTGGCAGGGGCTTGGTGGCGGGGCTCGGGGCTTTGGCTGGCCCTGAGCTCCTCTTGCTGACGGGGGGTGCTCCGGGCTACAGCCAGCCTGGGGTTCCTCCAGGCAGGTGTGTGTGTGTGTGCGGGGGACACTTGGGCCTTCGGCCAGCTGGGGCTCCTCCAGCTGAGGGAGGGGGTGCTCGGGGCTTCTCCGGGTGGGGGGCTTGTGGCTCCAGCCGAGGGGGGGCAGATGGGTCTCGGGGCTCCAGTTGCCGGGGTGGGGGAGGAAGGGATGGGAGTCGGGGGCTAGCCTCCCCAAAGGGGGGCTCCACCCGCTATCCATGCACCTGCCGCTCGCCTCCTGACCCACCTCCCGCCTGCCTCCTGCAGCCCTCCTCACTCCCCCACTCACAGCCAGACGCCCCCTCACTCTGCTGCTGGCTCACCGCCCACCTCCTTACTCCCCCGCCAAGCTCCCCCTCCCCTCCCATCCTCACTTTGCTCCTTAAGCGTTGTGTGTCCCACCCGTGTCTCCAGAGAGGTAGAGGAAGGAAGGAAGGACAGTGTTCCCTCTAATTTTTCCCATTTATGTGCAGAATGAATTTTGTTATGTGCACCAATATGGAGGTGTTGTGTGACACATCACCTTCATATTGGTGCCCAAAACAAAATTCATGTGGTGGGGCTGGGGCCAAGGGGGTTCGGAGTGTGTGAGGGGACTCAGGGCTGGGCCACAGGGTTGGGCTGCAGGGGTGTGAGGGCTCCAGCTGGGGGTGCAGGCTCTGGGGTGGGGCTGGGGATGAGGGGCTAGGGGCTGGGGCAGAGGGTTGGAGTGCAAGGCTGTGAGGGCTCCAGCTGGGGGTGCGGGTGGGGCCGGGGATGTGAGGGCTCCAGCTTGGGGTGCAGAAGAGTACTTTGGGGCTACGGCAGGAAAAGAGGACTCCCCCCAGCTGTCTCTCTCCACAGCAGCACCTGGGCTGGCGGGGGGCATGGGGGGAAGGTGCCTCTCCCTGCTGTGGCAACTCTGGGGCTGGGGCTGGGTTTGGGCTGGGCCGCTCTGGCCATGCCTGGAGCCACGCTGCTGTGGCTGGGGCCGGACCACACCGCCCGGCCTGGGCTGGGGCCGGGTTGCTCCAGCCACATCTGCAGCTGTGCTTCCCCGGCTGTGGCAGGGCCAGGCTGCAGCAGAGTTGGGTCTGGTGGAGGGGTGCCCTGACCGTGGCAGGTTGGGGGCCGGGGGAGGGGCACCCCTTCCCCAGGCGGGTTCCCTGAGCGCCTGCGCGGCTCTAAAGACGCTGCTGCACAACTTACAGGGAAATCGGAGGGGCTGATAGTTCCCCTTCGCGCCCCGTTTCCCCAGGAAACTGCTGTGGCAGCAGGGAACCCCCCTGGTGGCCACATTTGAGAAATGGTGAGTTAGTCCCTGCAGCAACATTCGCGGGGTGCAGAACTCTGAAGTCGGGCAGCACCTTCACTCTGAGCAGAGGCTGGCACATGGGGACAGCTCTCCCCGCTCAGCTCTTGTGCTCATTGGCAGGGTGGGGGAAGTATGCCCTGTCCTGGGCACATCCACTCCATGGCACTGTGGGGGAGTCAAAGCAGCGGCCCTGGCAGAGACAGGGTAGATCAGGGACAGTCTGTCCAACTGGGGGCTGTGAAATTCCTCAGCCTAGCAGCCCCTGGCAGCCTCCTGGCTAGCTCCGTGTGTGGGCGTGTGCCAGAAATCACACATGCAACCCTGAACATACTAATGCACACACACACTCTCTTTGGACAGGCACCCGGAGGGACCTGCACAAACACACACATAAAGGAGCCTTCAGCAGGACCTTTGCTTCCATTCTCAGTGGAAAAAAACTGACTCTGCCTCCTGGAAATAGCATGGCAAAAAACCCACCAAATCAGCCCCATAAACAGACAGGCCTTTCTTCTGCACAAGGACAGTCAGGGCAGCTCCAGAGCACCAGGCTGTGCTGCCATTCTGCAGTTCTGCTCGGGCTGACTCCAGCACCGCCAGCTGGAGCCTGGTCTGTCATTGCCACACTTGCCAGCCAGCCAGAGGGCTGATGCCCTACCTACCCACCTAGCCCCTGCCAGCCAGGCTAGCCTCCCTGCCTAATCTCTGCCTGGAGACAAGCGTCACCTTCAGCCACTCCATGGAGCTGCCCCATGGCCAGTGGTGGACCCTGGGGAAAGTGCTTTGATTTAAATGGCTCCTGTGCTGGGAAATGTTCCTGAACCTGGACTCCTCTATCCACAGAGCAGGTACAGCATGGGCTGTGTGGCAGGGCTGGCCTTCCCGTATCATGCACTGGTGTGCCTCTGCCCAGCTTGGAAGGACCTCACTAGGCAGCGAGGGGAGATTGGTCTCTGTGGCCCATTCAGTCCTTGAGCCATCAGCAGAGACTGCTGGCAAGGGGTCCAGTTAGTGCTGGCATGGGTGCCTATGCACTAGGAACTGGAGTGGGACTCGCTCAACCCATTTCCCAGAGACCTCTGGGCAGACATCAGTCACTGCTGAGCTAGGAAGGCCCTGTACCCTGAATCCCTGAGCCAGCCAGGCCTTTGCACACAGAGCAACAGTGAACAAGACTTGGGTAGTGGTGACACATGGGGCTGCCTTGGGATCACAGCTGGAGCTACCGGCATCAGAGAACTTGCTCCTGGGTCCCATCCCATGTGGCTTGCTGGCTGCCATCCCAGCACCCATCCCAAGGAAGCAGGTGGGCTCAGTGGTGAGATACTGGAGAAGCAACATGCGTCAGAGGAGAGGCCAAGGGGTGGCGAGGGGGCAGGAGAGCTGCAGGGGAGCAGGACGCTTACAGATACATAGAAGATGCGTGGGTATCATGCTGATGGAGGCCCTGCATAAATGGATGGATGGGGATAGAGACAGAGACTTGATTGGGGGTCATTCAGAAAGGGGGCAGGTTCTCTTTGGGTGCCTTGGCAGCCATCACTCATGTGGCTCAGGCGGAGGGGAGCTTGGGTTAAATGGGGCTTTAGGCATCAGCCATTAGATTCTGGGGGCCCATGCTGGGTGGTGGGGGGAAGGACCCTCTGTCTGAAGGAACATGATGACAGGCACCCCACCCCAGGCTGCTGAGGAAGGTGAGTTCTTTCTCCATGGAGCAGCATGGCTAACCTTTGAGTGTCATGGGAGCTTGACCTCCACTAGGTCCCGCCAGGTCCATTCCACCCTGAGGCCAGAACAGATCTCTACAGTTTCTTTTCCTGGCCCCAGCCCAGCAGAACTCGGGGCAGGAAACCTGTATTGTTCCTGATTCTAGAAAGCTGCTGAGTCACCACGGTGAGGCTGGAAACGGGAGGCACCGAAGGGCTGATCCAGCAGCTCCATGAGCAACCCAAGCACTCAGCGGCGGTGCAGTGACAGGCAGAGGAAATCCCCCCCCCCCCCCCGCCCCTAAATGCCAGCATTCCCTGGGACCACACAGCCATGATGCTCCCCGGGAGCACTGTGCTGGTTCTGTCCTGCTGCTCCTTCGCCTGCCCCTCGCATCCCCCTGCTAGCTGAGGGATTCTGGCAGCACTCGTGTACCCTGGTCTAGGAATAGCAAACAGCCCCTCGGGCAACTGCTCCTTAGCGCTGAACTGTAACTGTGCCATGCTTGGGAACAAACTGGAACTAAAGCTACAGTTGCAGAGTTCCAGCAATTTTCCCTTCTAAGGCAACAAGGCCTGAGAAGACAGCTGCCCCACCCCCATCTGCCACATACTGAGTCCCACCAATTCTAGGCCAGCCCAGACAAGGATCAAATCCCCTGACACCAACTCAGGACACATCCCAGGGTCTTGCAAATTCCCTATACAGCCTCAGTCTGGGCCCAGGAGACATCTCCCCACCCCCCACTTCACTGGTGACTGCAGAACATCTCTGGGGCAGCTCCGGCATGTGCTCCTTTGGGAAAGTCTTTGAGCATTTCTAACATCCTTTATGGGGTTTAGCACCTGTAAAGAAGACGGGGCACCTGCGCCATTGTGCCCCGCCAGATCTCCATAGCACACCCGCCAGTGTTCCACGAACAGCTGGCCAGGGGCCTCTGCGCCAGCCCCAGAATGTGGCTTCTGTATTGGCCCTGCACCTACGGGCAGTTCAGCTTAGGGGGCAATGGGGGCTAGTCTCTCTGGCATCCTCTAACAGTGCAGGCTCCGGTCCCCTCGCCCGCAGACGGTGCTCTCCAGTCCTGCTGGAGTCAGGCAGACCCAGAAGCGGAGGAAGAATCGTTCAAGGGGAGCAGAACCTTCCGACACATCCTGGTGGTACCAGACACACCCACAGAGCACAGCTTGGGGGCACTGTGCCAGGCCCAGCTGCTCTGCAGTGCCATCTACAGGTTGGGAGAGGTGCACATTGGAGCCAAGAGTCTGGAGAGCTTTTGGGTGACTCTTGTTGCAGTATTTCCTTTTTGGGTGGGGCAGGTGGCAACATCAGAACAGGATGGGAAGCAGCGCTCGATCCAGCCCATGCTAAGCCCCGATCTTGCCCCGTCGGCAGGGTTGGGGGAAACTGGGCTGGTGCATGATGGAACAGCAGCAGTCGCCTTGGGTTGCAAGTGGAAGCGAACGCGGGGGAGATCCCCTGAGACCTTGCTGACCTCTGAGCCACCCTTCCTCCCATCTCTGAGCTTTCTGAGGCCTTGTGGTTGCTGAGCAGGAACTGCACAGCTTTCCTTTCCATTTGCCAGCAGGAAATGAGGCTCGGTTCCAGGAGAAAGGCCTTCCAAGCTAGGGGGGAGTCTAGGGGGACAAAGGGGTGGGCACTGGCTAAGGCACATAGGGCAGCTCCATTGGGGCGGGTGAGAACTGGGGAGCGCACACCTCCCTGGACTGCAGAGACTGAGAGTGTGCACCTCTGGAGCGGGGGACCGAGCCTAGGAGAGCTGAGAAGGAGAGAGAGACGTTGGGAGACAGAGCCCCTGGAATCCCAGCCCTGGGACGGCACAGCCCAGGAAGCATCTTTGTCCAATCCGGACCCTTTGGACTGTTCGGAGATCCCCTGCCTGGGTCAAAACTCTCCTCCTCGCCAGCTCCGTCATTCATTTATTTCTCCCTTCCTTCGCTGGGTGCAGCCATCTGTGAGGGGTTTCCCCCAGTGTGGACCGATCTCTCTACCACACCCTTCCCTGTGCCAACATTGCGGCTGCCACCCGGAGCCACAGAAAGCTAAGCCAGGTGGGTGAGTAGTTTTTTATACTGTGGGAGGGTGAAGGGACCTGCTTTACCTGGAGAGAATAACGGGCTGGGATGAACCTAGCAATAGAAATGAGATCAGGAAAGGAGTGATAAGAGCAGGGAGTTGGGATACCTCGGTTCTCTTCCCAGTTCTGGAAGGGAAGTGGTGGTGGTGGGGGAATCGAACAGTGAGAACGGGGGGGGGGCAATGTGTGTCAGGACTCCTGAGGTCTATTCCCAGCTCCATCACATGCTCATTCTGATAGTGTTACCTAGTGGCTGGAGCATTGGGCTAGGCCTTGGAAGAGCTGGGTTCTAGACCTGGCTCTGCTGCTGGCCTGCTGCATGATCACTTCCTCTCTCCGTGCCTCAGTTTCCCCATCTATAAAATGGGGCTAATGATACTGACTGGTCTCCCAGAGGGGTTCTGTGAGTAAATGAATGTCCACAAAGTGCTATGACTCCCTCCAACGTGTGGTGCAAGGACACAGCCAGTGTTAACCTATAGAGGGGCCACAGGAGGCTAGCAAAAGATCTGATCCTGCCCCAATGCCAGGGGTAGGAGACAAGACTTAATGCACTAATCCAGAGCGTGAGGGGGGATCTGTCAGTGCCATGTGCTAGAAGCACCCCGGCCAGCTGTCCCAGAGGGGAGTAGAACATCCAGTGACCTGCAATGTTCATTGTGCTCATCTAGATGGGTGTGAACACCTACTCAGTGCCCTGCCTCCTTCATGCCAGGTGTGTGGCAGAAACCTCCCCTATTTAGAGTAGTCCTGGCTAGGACCTTACACTGCTGAGGGTGAATCTGATCCAAGGGCGTTGCTCAGGGAGTCTCATGGTAACTGTGTTTGCCAGCGTACGCCTAGCATGGGCAGAAGCAGTGCCAGGCACCTCACACACCGCTCCCTGCCAAGGTGCCTCAGCCTCTGGGGTGAGCAGGGAGGTTGGGTCCGTGGCCCAGTCAGTCCTCAGCCTTTCTGCAGCGACTAAAAGCTGGTGGGCTGTTGGCATTGTGACGGGCCCATGGGACTGACACCCCACAAACTCATGTCACACAAGCCAGTGACTAGCCATCAGGTGGGGACTTTGGCTGCCCACGTGCCAGTGCTTGAAACAACTAGCCCCAAGGGTCAATGAGAAGGCGGTTTGATCAATGGTGCAGCAGGTTCGGACACCGTGAGGGCAGGCAAGTGAGAGGTTCTGGAGAGAGCTTCTTGCTCGGGTAGAGCTGAGGACTGCATGACGTGCAGCAGAGATCAGCTGGAGCTGAGATGCTACAGCAGCAATGCACTAGAGCCGTGTGTGGCAGCAAGACCCTGTGAGTAGGATGTGGCCCTGGGAAGCTGGGTTCAGGACCTGGCTCTGTCACCCACTTGCTTTCTGTCTTTGGGTAACGCTTAGTGCCTCAGCTTCCCCATCTGTGCAATGGTGATAGTGACCCCCACCTTTGCAAAGGGCTTTGCAATCTATATTGATAGTGTGATAACATGAGACTTGGTAGCTGGAAGGATACAGGAGCTGTGGGTCCCAGGCTGTGGTTTGAGTGTTGTGGAAAGTAAGGGGGGGGACGTGTGTGTGTGCTCTGGTTCTGTATCCAGAGCAGCGTACTTAGCAGGGACTTTCTAGCTCAGTTCTCTGTACTGGGGACAACTGTCTCATTTACAGTGTTTCCAGGACTAAAACAGAGGAGGCACTGTCCAGAAAAGTGAGAGTGCTAGACCCAGAGCAGTTCCCAGCCACTTCTGTCCCAGCCTCTCCCAGCAGGGGGCGCTGTAGGGTGTGGGGCAGGAGTGCTGGCTGGGGGGAGTGGAAGTGTTGAGGAGGCCTTGTTTCACTCTCCCCTCTGGACTGCTGGTGAGTGTCTCATGCTTCCAACCTGGAACACACCCGGCTTCCTGCATTTCTTCCTGGCTGTTCCCTCATCCCAGGCACATGGATTTCCGGGCCCATCAAGAAGCCGGATGGGCTGTGTGTATTATCTCCTCCATCAGCCCCAGCTTGGGTTGCTTTGCTTTGTTCCCGGCAAGGAGGCATGGAATGATAATCCTACGCTGCAGCCATTGCGCAGTGTTACACCCGAGGGGCAGCCCACCAGGCAGAACGGCATCCCCTAGTGACAATCAGCCTTGTCCCCTGAAGAGACCTGGCCTAACATGGGGTGGAGGGAATTGGGGTCTGTAATGGGGGTGGTGGGCAGGGGGAATTGGGGTCTGCAATGTGGGGTGGGCAGAGGGAATTGGAGTCTGTAATGGGGGTGGGCGGGGGTGGTGGACAGGGGAATTGGGGTCTGTAATGGGGGTGGTGGGCAGGGGGAATTGGGGTCTATAATGGGGGGGTGGGCAGGGGGAATTGGGGTCTGTAATGGGGGTGGGCGGGGGTGGTGGACAGGGGAATTGGGGTCTGTAATGGGGGGTGGTGGACAGGGGGAATTGGGGTCTGCAATGTGGGGTGGGCAGAGGGAATTGGAGTCTGTAATGGGGGGTGGGCGGGGGTGGTGGACAGGGGAATTGGGGTCTGTAATGGGGGTGGTGGGCAGGGGGAATTGGGGTCTATAATGGGGGGTGGGCAGGGGGAATTGGGGTCTGTAATGGGGGTGGGCGGGGGTGGTGGACAGGGGAATTGGGGTCTGTAATGGGGGTGGTGGACAGGGGGAATTGGGGTCTGCAATGTGGGGTGGGCAGAGGGAATTGGAGTCTGTAATGGGGGTGGGCGGGGGTGGTGGACAGGGGAATTGGGGTCTGTAATGGGGGTGGTGGGCAGGGGGAATTGGGGTCTATAATGGGGGGTAGGGGGAATTGGGGTCTATAATGGGGGGTGGGCAGGGGGAATTGGGGTCTGTAATGGGGGGGCGGGGGTGGTGGACAGGGGAATTGGGGTCTGTAATGGGGGTGGTGGACAGGGGGAATTGGGGTCTGCAATGTGGGGTGGTGGGCAGGGGGAATTGGGGTCTATAATGGGGGTGGGCAGGGGGAATTGGGGTCTGTAATGGGGGTGGGCGGGGGTGGTGGACAGGGGAATTGGGGTCTATAATGGGGGGTGGGCAGGGGGAATTGGAGTCTGTAGTGGGGGTGGTGGACAGGGGGATTTGGGGTCTGCAATGTGGGGTGGGCAGAGGGAATTGGAGTCTGTAATGGGGGTGGGCGGGGGTGGTGGACAGGGGAATTGGGGTCTATAATGGGGGGTGGGCAGGGGGAATTGGAGTCTGTAGTGGGGGTGGTGGACAGGGGGATTTGGGGTCTGTAATGGGGGGAGGGGGGAATTGGGGCCTGTAATGGTGGGGTGTAGCTCTGGGAGGGGGGGCGGGGAAGTGCAGATGTGGTTGGCATGGCTGGTGGTGCGTATCCACCCTGAATTGGCTGCCTATGCTCATGTGCGGGGCTTGGGGTTGGGCTGGCAAAGCCCGCAGCTCCCGGAATGTGGGCTGGCCGGCCTCCTCGCTGGGAGCTGCCCCACTGCTGCCTCCTGAGCCCTCCTGTGGAACAGTGCCCCAAGCTCCACAGCCAGCTCCTCCGGGAGTCCCCATTGTGTGACTGGCCTGGCCCCTGCCTCAGCCTAGCCCCAGTGCCTTCCCCTTCCCCTCCTCCCACTGGGAGCTCACCCCCCCCCCGAACTGCAGAGCCCAGCTTGGGCCAGTGCCTTCCCCTTCCCCTCCTCCCACTGGGAGCTCACCCCCCCCCCCGAACTGCAGAGCCCAGCTTGGGCCAGTGCCTTCCCCTTCCCCTCCTCCCACTGGGAGCTCACCCCCCCCCCGAACTGCAGAGCCCAGCTTGGGCCAGTGCCTTCCCCTTCCCCTCCTCCCACTGGGAGCTCACCCCCCCCCCGAACTGCAGAGCCCAGCTTGGGCCAGTGCCTTCCCCTTCCCCCTCCTCCCACTGGGAGCTCACCCCCCCCCCGAACTGCAGAGCCCAGCTTGGGCCAGTGCCTTCCCCTTCCCCCTCCTCCCACTGGGAGCTCACCCCCCACCCCGAACTGCAGAGCCCAGCTTGGGCCAGTGCCTTCCCCTTCCCCCTCCTCCCACTGGGAGCTCACCCCCCACCCCGAACTGCAGAGCCCAGCTTGGGCCAGTGCCTTCCCCTTCCCCTCCTCCCACTTGGGCCTCACCCCCTTGACCCTCCCCAGCGCAGGGGTGGGGGGGCTGTGATCGGATTACAGATCAGCCACCCTTCATTTCCTCTGCCGCTGGAGATCCGTCTCAGCTGGGATGAAGGCACCGGATGATCCAGTAGCTCTCCTCCCTGTTGTTATTCCCTGGCCTTGGGCCTCACATGATGGGCATGCACTGCCAGAACCCACCCGCTGCTGCTCAGAGGGCATTGCTGGTACCACTCTGCCCTGATGATTCTGGCACCTGCTGTAGGGAGTGGGGCAGGAGCACTGGCTGTGGGGAGAGCACCGAGCTACTCCAGCCTCTCCCAGCAGGGGGTGCTGTGGGGAACAGGGCAGGAACACTGGCTGTGGGGGGGACCTCCTAGCTATTCCAGTCCAGCCTCTCGCAGCAGGGGGTGCAGTGGGGAGTGGGGGAGGAGCACTGGCTGTTGGGGGAGCTCCCGGCTACACCAGCCCCAGCCTCTTCCAGCAGGGGCGTAGGGAGTGGGAGAGGAGCGCTCGTTGTTGGGGAGCTCCCAGCTACTCCAGCCCCAGCCTCTCCCTGCAGGGGGCACTGTGGGGAGGGGCAGGAGTGCTGGGTATGTGGGGAGCTCCCAGTTAACGGATCTGGTCTCTCCCAGCAGGAGCAGGAAAGAGTGGGGAGGTAGCAGTGCTTGTCTGTGGGGTGGCTGCTTGTTAAGAAAAGCCCTAAGGTGTCCCTCCATTTGTGTAACCAGCGAGTAATGCTGGGGTGGGAGTGGATCTTCTGTACCTTACCCTGTGGGGAGAGGTGGTGGTGGTGGTGGTGGGGTTTCTTATCCCAGCTGTCACTAGTTGGCCTCATCCTGTTTGCTTGTCTGGACTCGTGCACTCGGGAAGTTCTAGCAGTAGAAGCTAAAGGAGTGAATTTAAACCACTGTAAGCCCACATGTGGACAGCCAAAGGGAGCTAAGCTAAACCAGAAGCAGACACTTCTGGACTAAGCATATGTGGTCAAACTCCCCATATAGACAAGCCCTTAATTACTTTACACACAGTGTCTTGTAAGTGGCTCACATGTGACTGGAAAAGCAGGGCCCGGCTAAAAGCAAGCCCCAAGGTTATTCCCCTGGTGCCCTGCAAACCCAGTGGAGGAAGGAAGGGGAGGTGCCCAGGCCAGCTGGCAGTGCAAACATAAAACTGCATTCGATTGTGGGGGTGTGAGATTGGGGCTGTGGCGACAGCCCTGGAGCTCAAAGGCCTCTGGTTGCTTGCAGCCAAGATACAGCATGGGCAGCGGCAGGGCAAACAGCCCCCATATAACCTGCATGCCTCAGCCCCACCCCGCAGAGACCAACCTCTATGTGTGAGACAGGGGCATCCGCTGGAGGCCAGCAAAAGCATTCAATACGTTCCCCTTGGACCCACCCTAACCTTGAGGGAAGCTGCTACTGTAGATGGGCCCAAACCATTTGAGAACTGGGGCCCGGTCGTGCACCCTGTAACAGTGTCCCCAATGATCTCGTCCTACTATCCCCATTTGCAACAGCAATCCTGGATGGATCAGGAGGGATCTGCAGTGGGCAACCTTGGTCAGCCTGTGGGCCATTTCACTAGTGCAGAGGGACCCTCTGGCCGACTCAGTCCTCGGTCTCGCTGCTGGGAGTGCCAGCAGGTTTGGTGGCAGTGGGTGTCACGTAGATACCGGCCCATTTGGAAATCGACTGGGACATCCCTCCCCATCTAATTCATAGCCAAAAGGCCACTCATCAGCCACCCCAAGCCAAGGCTCTTTGGTCTCCTTTGACCTGGGCTGGGTTATGGAACTAGGGACCTAGAGGTGAGAGACTCCATCTCCATCCCCAGAGCCATCCCAGTCCCCAGTGCCGTAGGTGACTGAAGGCACTTTTTGGAGGCTTTAATCAATAAGGAATCCAGCGTGTGGCACTGTCTCTTTAACCCCCATGTTCCTGCTCATAGCCCAGGGCTCCCAGAAAGGAGTGTTCAAGCAAAGTGTAAAGCTTTAGAGACATCCTGAGCTGACAAGCACCATTGCTGTCCCTGGTGGTGGCACTCAGCAGAGAGACCTGGGACACCATGGGGTCTCAAGGCCCTTCTGGGATAGGGTTGAGGCCCACGGGCCCAGTGGTATGGGGGAAGCAGGAGCTCTGTTATGTAGTTAGATAGAAGCTGATTTCCAGAGACAAGGAAGACCCACGACTGCAGCTGAACTCAACCAGGGCTGATCGCTCAGCATCCTGTGTCTGCAGGTTCCCCAGATGGCACCGTACACCAGCCAGCCGCCAAACTCAGACAAGCCCCATTGAACCCCTGAGTGCTGTCGGCTTCTGCGATCATGAGAACATGCAAATAACCTCGTGGTGGGAGAAGATCCAGCTGCTTGGCCTTCTGGCTCTGAAGAGCTGGTTTTGATTGAGCTCTAGTGGCACTTTGGAAGGGCTCCAGAACGCCGGCTGGTTGGAACGCGCCAGCCATTTGGCATGCCAAGCCCTGCCCTGGCAGCCAGTTGCCAGAGCTCTGGGGGAGCCATTGAACCCAGCAGACTGGCGGGCGCATTCCTGGGAAGGAAAATGGCCCTCCCGAGACAATGGCCATTCATTGGGGCTGACATTGTTCCCCCAGCAGATGTTTATGTAGAGTCCATAACGAAACAAATGTTCGAAGGGATTCCCAGCCGTTGACATAACAACCGCTTTGTGACTTGATCAGAGAGCCAGTGCTCCCAAGTCAATCCTTATACTAGTGGTTCTCAAACTTTTGTACTGGTGACCCCTTTCACATAGCAAGCCTCTGAGTGTGACCCCCCCTTTATAAATGAAAAACACATTTTTATATATTTAACACCATTATAAATGCTGGAGGAAGAGCGGGATTTGGGGTGGAGGCGGACAGTTTGTGACCCCCCCATGTAATAACCTCACGACCCCCTGGAGCGGTCCCGACCCCCCATTTGAGAACCCCTGCCTTATACCAACTCCCGCTGGGCGAGGGCAAGGCAGCAGGCATGCCCGCCCCCTTGTCTGCAGCTCCCGGAGAAAACAGGCTCCGAACACTGGAATCGCAGAGGACTCTGGGGCTGGGGCACCCGGGACCCACACACAGAGACAGCCAGCGCCCTCTGCCCTGCGACCCACAGCACCCCCTGCTGGGAGAAGCTGGAACTGGAGTAACCAGGACCCCCCCCAGCCAGTGCTCCTGCCCCACTCCCCACAGCACCCCCTGCTGGGAGAGGCTGGGGCTGAAGTAGCTGGGAGCCCCCCCCAGCCAGTGACCCTCTCCACCTCCCCACAGCGCCCTCCTGTGGGCAGAGGCCGGCGCTGCAGCAGTTCGCCGCTCCCCTAACTGCCGCCCTGTGCGGGCTCCGTTAGCCCGGCCGCTCCCCTGGCCCCGCCCTGCCCCGGCGCGCGCCGCCCCCTGCAGTTCAGTAGCAAGCGGCGCTTGGCATGCCAAGCCCGCCGGGCTGTACCAAGTGGTTCCTGCCGACTGGGGAAGGGGGTAAGGACTAGTGCACATAAAAATAACGGTCCCCGTTGCCACGGAGCGTTAGAAACGGCGCAGACCGAGCCAGGGACCGCAGGACTTCCCTCCCGTTTCCGGCCGGCTTCGCGCGCTGAGCCGGTGCCTCCCTGGGGGGGGCGGGTCCACAGGGATTCCCCCTCCCCTCCGGCTCGCATTGGGCCGCTCCAGCCGCTGGGCTTTTAAAGGGGCTGCCGAGGCCGGCAGCGGCGAGCGGGGTGGTGTTGGGCTCGTGGCCCTTTAAAGGGGCTCGCTGGGGCTGGCCGGGGGGTGATGGGGAGCTGAGCCCAGGTGAGTGCGCGCCCGGAGCGCAGGGGAGCTGCTGGGGCCCGCCCGGCCGCGACCCGCTCGGGGCTGGGCGAGGAGGGAACTTTCCCAGCTACCGGGGCGGGGGGCGTGGAGCGCTCCCACCGGCCCCGGTTCTGGCGCGGGGGCTGCCGAGCCCCTCCGCGGCCCGGCGAGCGTCCCGCTCTGGAGCGGAGCCCGGGTGGCTGGGAAAGGTCCCCTGTTCCCCCGCTCGCCCTGCCCCGCTCCGGCAGCTCGCGGTCTGGATCCCGGCGTGCGGCTTGGCTGGGGGTCCGGCGAGGCGGGCCGACGGGCAGCTGGTAACTCTGGGGAGCCCCGGCTCTGTCCCGGACGCGCCGCTCCGCGGAGTCCCTCTCCCGGCTCTGCGCCGTGCGGTGATTTGTGCCGCTCGCCGGCCGGCCGGGCTGGGAGCGGATCTGTCCTCGCTGCAGCTCTGCTCCGTGGGGCTGCTCTGCGCGGCTTTGTGCGAGCGCTTGCTCTGCTGACACCCACATTTTTCTCTCCCTCCTCCCCCCCCCCCCAGCTTTGCTATTTGATCTCCGGCGCTTGCTTCCCACCGAGCGGCTGGCCTCGCAGGCTATTGCAATGGAAAAAAGTTCGCGCTGCCCCGCAGCTCGTGCGAAGCCTGTTGCTCAGTGCGCGGAGCTGCCGAACAAAAGGTGGCCTGGCTGGGACATCTCGGCGGAGCTGCGGCGGGGGTCGCACAGGGGGAGAGGGAGGGATCGGTCGGGAACAAAGCGTGTCCGACCCACCGGCTGCGCTGATAAGCGAAGGCCCGCACATTCTTGGGATGTTTCAGGGCTTCAAACCTCCGGCGTGGGGCCTGATCCTTCCGGTTTATCGCCAGCGTCAATCCGGAGTGACTCGACCCGAGTGGTCGCGGTCGGCGCCACGTGTGGGGGAGATCGGAGCCAGGCCCTAAGTTGCAAGCTCCCTTCCAGGGAGTTTACGTGCCTGCTGTGTGGTGGGGCCCGGCTCTTGCTGGGGGGACTGTCAAGAAAGCTGTGCTGGAATTGCACCACTGGAGCTGAGCTCTGGAGCCGGCCCTTGGCTGGGGCTGGGGAGGCTGCTCAGCCTGCGGTGCTGACCGACCTGGGCCTGGGACTGCTCTCAGCCCTGTACCGCTGCTGGTGCTGGAGGGTTTTGTGGCTGGCAGCTTCCCCTCCTAAGGACGAGTCTCTGCTGTCCATCCAGTTGTACTGCGCTCAGGTGGGTTGCGGCAGGTCAGGACCAAAGTGCGGTGGCAGAGCCCTGGGAGTTAGCTCCAGGGCTGGAACAACAGAGGCTGCCACAGGTTGGGCTCTCGGGGCAGGAAGGCTGGTCTGGGGTCTAAGATACTAGGCTGAAAGGCAGGAGATCTCTGTTCCGTTCCCAGCTCCACTGCAGTCGTCCTGTGTGGCCTCAGGCCAGTCACTTGAGCTTTGAGCATCAGTTTCCCTTCTGTATTGTCCCCAGCTCAGAGCAGAGATGCACGAATGCTTGTGAGGCGCTCCCAAGGGGGCCAGTGGTAGACCATTGGAGTACCTCGATGGATTGGAGGGGCGTTGGCAAAGCTGGGTCTGTGGGGTTGGGCCAGTAGGGGGGTTTCAGGGGCATTGGCAGAGCTCTACTGCTAGCAGGGTGGGGGAGTGCCTTTTGCCCTCCCCTCTTACAGCATTTTCCCCCGGCAGGCTGTGACCTGAAGCCATCCTGTGACCGAGCAGCCCAGCGAGAGAGAATGCGGGGAGGCTCTACGCTGGCAGTGCCATGGCTCCTGCTCCTTGCTGTCACCAGCAGCCGTGGGCAGGACGAGAAGCCAACCTTTGCCCCCCTCTTCACCCAGAAGCCCTTCATTGTGGCCTGGAATGCGCCGACCCAGGACTGCAGGCCTCGCTTCAAGGTCCAGCTGGACTTCAGCCTCTTTGACCTGCAGGCCTCTCCCAACGAGGGCTTCGTAGACCAGAATCTCACCATCTTCTACAAGGAGCGCCTGGGCCGCTACCCCTACTACGACGAGCAGCAGGTGGCTGTGAACGGGGGTGTCCCCCAGAACAGCAGCCTCACGGATCACCTGGACCGGCTCCAGGAGGGCATCCGCAAGTACATCCGCTCAGAGGCCAAGGAAGGGCTGGCTGTCATTGACTGGGAGGAGTGGCGGCCCATTTGGATCCGCAACTGGCAGAACAAGGACGTCTACCGCAAGAACTCCCGCCAGCTGGTGCTGTTGCGGCACCCCAGCTGGCAGGAGGACCTGGTGAACAAGGAGGCCCAGTATGAGTTTGAGAGCTCGGCCCAGGAATTCATGCTCCTCACCCTGCAGCACGCCAAGAGCTACCGGCCCAAGCAGCTGTGGGGTTACTACCTCTTCCCGGACTGCTACAACCACGACTACAGCAAGAACCCGGACAGCTACACGGGGCGCTGCCCTGACGTGGAGGAGACCCGCAATGACCGTCTGGCCTGGCTCTGGAAGGAGAGCACAGCCCTCTATCCCTCCATCTACCTAGACCAGGTCCTGGCCTCCTCCGAGAATGGCCGCAAGTTTGTGCGCTCGCGGGTTATGGAGGCCCTGCGGATCTCCCACCAGCACCACGACGGCTACTCGCTGCCCGTCTTCGTCTATACCAGGCCCACCTACAGCCGCAAGCTGGATGTGCTGAGCAGGGTAAGGCGGCGCCCGTGTCCCAGGGACCGACCCATTTCTGCCAGAGGTGCTGGGGCTTTACCCTGCTTCTTCCCAGGCCTCTAGCTCTCTGGCTCTGGGAGAGGGTAGTGAGTGGGCTCACCACTAGGGGGCAGTGTGATCATACACCCTCCCAGTATATTACAGCAAAGGCACCAGAACATACCAAGGGAACAGACTTTCCAGTCTTTTCCAGGCCTCATGTGAACTCTGCCACGGAGGGTGGGAGGAACTGGTTCTTCCCACCATCCAAGGCTTTAAACACCAGCTCCCCAAATTCAACCCCAGCTGTGCCTGGTGGCACTTTATGGGGTAGAGCAGGGTCCCGGTCCTGCTTGCCCCTCTGCATCTGAGTGGACTTGCCAGCAGCCCTGTTGCTTGTGCCAGCTGGGCATAGGGCTCTTGCATGGTGGTAGCTAAGTGAGCTGGGACAGGGCTGCTCTGTGGCCCTCCTGGCAGGCTGTGGTGGGAGGAGAGAAGGCTGGGCAGTGGAGGTGGGGTGGGGGAGAATCTTCCTGTGTTAGCCAGGTGGGTCTATGAGATCACACTCCAGCTCCCTGGTCCTGCCCAGCGTTGCCATGGCTGAGGAGGGCTTGGGGATGAGTTCCTGACCTTACAATGCCCCGGCTGGTGGGGGGAGTGCAGCTGTTGAAATGGGAGCCGTGGCCCTGCCACTGTGCAGGCTAACTGCCGGTTGACAGCCGCCACTTCCCCTTTCTGGATCCCGCCCCACAGGGCCCAGCTTCAGGAGGCAGCCGGAAGATGAGCATGGGTTTGAGAGCCAGGACTCCTGGCTTCCATTCCCAGCCCTCCTGCCTGAGCATAGGCAAATCAGCTAGAGACAGATTTTTCTCAAGAGCTCAGGTGAAAATCCAGTGCCTGAGCTCTCTGGGCCCCAGGTGTGGTGTGGGGGAAAGGTCCCATTTTGGGGGGGGGGAGCATACAGAGCTGTGGTGGGGTGCAGTCTGAAATTATCCCATCCTGTACTATGCCCCCGTTAGCCAACCCCCCCCTGCCCAGCGTGGAAGGTCCATGCTGTCACAGGATGCCCTCTGCGGTACCGAGGATCTCCATTGGGAAGTCTGTTTCCTGGTGCCCTGTGGTGTAACTGTCCCTACAAGAGCCTGCAGGGGGCAGCATGATGGGCGGGGAGGTGGCTGTGGTGGGGGACGAAAGGCAGGAGTGGGAGGGTGGTGCTGGTGCCATTGTTCTGGCCCATCCATGCCTGACGCTTAGTGGCAGGGCCTGCAGATACCCAAGAATGGCTTAATGTATGAAACCATTGCAGTCTCTCCCTGTGGGGCAGGGGCATGTCCGAGCTGCGAGCAGGCAGGCAGAGGCCAGTATCTGTCATGGGGGGTGCCCCATTGTCCTGTGTGGGGCTCCAAGCTGTGCTGTTGCGCTGACGGGTGGGAGTGTTAGATCTGGCCCACTCCTGTTGCCAGCCCGATATGGGGATCGAGTGCCAGCTCCGTGGTTCCAGGAGAGCAGTTCCATCAACCTCCCTCCTGATGGGATGGGGCTGTGCCCTGGGTGGGCTCCTCCAGCAGAGCATGGAGGAGCCTCGGGTGCTAGCAGGTGGTGGGCGGGCAGGGAAAGGCAGGCAGGCACCAAGCCCCTTGCAGCAATGGGGGAGGGGTAGGAGGCAACAATCTCCTTTTCTAACTGTTGAGGATGTACCATGGGGCACCCCACTGAAATGGGGGATGTGGGGTCTCCCAGCAGTTTTGTATAAAGGGCCCCCTTGTAACAGAACCTGTGTGAATGGACTCTGGTCTGAGCCCTGCTCCACTTTGCACTCCTACCCTGCAGGCACTGGGAGAGGGAAGCTGAGCCAAGCCCCATAGGAAACCTCTCTGCACAGAGACTCTGTGGGATGTTGCAGAGTAGCAGCCGTGTTAGTCTGTATTCGCAAAAAGAACAGGAGGACTTGTGGCACCTTAGCGACTAGCCAATTTATTTGAGCATGAGCTTTCGTGAGCTACAGCTCACTTCATCGGATGTAGCTCACGAAAGCTTATGCTCAAATAAATTGGTTAGTCTCTAAGGTGCCACAAGTCCTCCTGTTCTTTTTGTGGGATGTTGGTTACTGAGATGGGGGTGAAAGGGCCACAGAGGCCCCCTGCACCCATCAGCCCATCTAACGCTCAGTGTGCCAGCTTTGCTGGGCACAGCACCCCATTAGTGGCTGAGTAGAAGTCCAGGGGGCCCTGCACAAAGCCAGCTGCTAGCATGGCTGGGGCTGCGAAGCCATTTCTCTGGGGCGGGCTGGGAGTCAGAGGTTCTCGGGGTCCTCATGCTGTCCTGCACAGCTGGGCAGTTCCTAGCGGTATGCGGGGGGCTCTCCACCCCTGGCCTTCTGGGCATGTTGAGGGGGTGGAGGCAAGTGGGAGGACACCATGACCCCAGCTGGGCAGATTCCCCCCTGCTCTTGGTGATTACGGCCTCCTTTGCTGCTGTCTGCCAGGGCAGCACATGCCTAAATGCTTCCTCCTGTGTCCTGCTGAGTGCAGCTCCTGGCTGGGGCTGCTTCCCATGGGAAGTGCTCCGGGGACGGAGGGGTCCTTGGGGCGATGGGAGTGGGGTCTCTGTAGGTGGCAGGCTGCTTCTTTCTGGGGTACATACATTGGTGCTAGAGTGCAGCTCACCTCTTAGAGGAGAGGCCTGATCTTGTGTGCAGGGGAGGAAGGGCCAGGTGTTCTAATGGCTAGAGTGGGAACTGCGTGCCAGGACTCCTGGGTTCTATTCCTGGCTCTGGCTGTGGAGTGGGTTCTAGGGGCTAGAAGAAGAGACTGCGAGCCAGCACTCCTGGGTTCTATTCTCACTGCTGGCACTTAAATTTTCTGACCTTGAATAAATCATCTTCTGTCCCTGTGCCTCAGTTTCCATTTCTGTAACATGGACACACTAGTCCTCAGGGAGGCAATGAGAGGGCTAATTATGAGGCATTGGTGCTGGTGTTTGGCAAGTGGCTTAGGCACAGCACTGACATGGAGCAGGGCAGCCGGCTGCTGGCCATTCTCCTAAGGAACTAGGGAAATGGGGTCTAGATAGTATTATGATAAAGTGGATGCGCAACTGGCTGAAAGATGGTACTCCAGGGTTTGCTGTCAGACTAGGAAGGTGCATCTAGTGGGGCCCTGCAGGGATCAGTCCTGGGTCCAGAGCTAGTCAATATTTTCATTAATGACTTGGATGAGGGAGTGGGGAGTTTGCCTATAAAACTATGCAGGGGCCACCAAGCTGGGCGGTGTTGCAAGCCCTTTGGAGGGCAGGGTTAGAATTCAAAACAACCTTGACCAATTGAGAATTGGTCTGAAATCAACAAGATGAACTTCAACAAAGACAAGGGCAATGTACTACACTTAGGAAGGAAAAATCAAATGCACAGCTGCAAAATGGGAACTAACTGGCCAGGTGGCTGTGCTACTGAAAAGGGGTCTGGGGGTTAGAGTGGATCAAACGGATGCAGTAGAGTTGCTGCACCCCCCCCCCCCCACAAAAAAAAAAAAGCTAATTTCATTCTGGGGTGTTTTAACATGAGTGTCGTGTGGGAGGACATTGTCCTGCTCAGCACTGATGAGGCCTCATCTGGGCACCACACTTTAGAAAGATGGGGACAAATTGAAGAGTCCAGAGAAGAGTAGCAAAAATGATCAAAAGTTTAGAAAACCTGACCTGTGAGGACAGGTTAAAAATTTGGGGCAAGTTTCGTCTTCAGAAAAGAAGACTGAGGGGGGAGCTGATACCAGTCCTCAAACATGTTAAGGGCTGTTACAAAGAGGGTGGTGATCGATTGTTCTCCATAGCCCCTGACAGTAGGACAAAGTAATAACTTCCAAGGGAGGTTGTGGAATCTCCGTCACTGGAGGGTTTTAAGAACAAGTCAGACAAACCCCTGTCCGGGCTGCTCTAGGGTGACTTGGTCCTGCCTCAGCGCAGGGGGCTGGACTTGATGGCTTCTCGAGGTGCCTTCCAGCCCAACATTGCTCTCATATCCACTAGTCCACATGCAGCCACCAGGGGCTTTTTGTGGGGCTACAACAGCCTCCTGGGCAGTGAAGGGGTGGGGAAATCGACCTCTTCCCCCTCCCTCCCTGTTGTTCCTGGCTGCAGTGCTCTGGACCGTCTCTGGAGACATTGTACCCCAATGCTGCAGGAGCAAAGTGAGTTCTCGACCCCCCCTTGATAGGGGTTGGTGGGGCTCAGACTTCAGCCCTGGGGTGGTTGGCCAGCAGGCTCCAGTGGTGGGACTTCAGGAACCTGGCCATGGGTCTGCAGGTGCCAACCCTCAGCTCTGGCCATGTGACCCCAGCTTCGGGCTCCGGTCACTGGCTCTGGTCCCAGGTTCCAGCTGCAGAGCTGGCCCTTGGTGCTGACCTCTAGCCCCTGCTGTGTGGCAGCAGGCTCTGACCCCCAGCTTCAGCTGCACGGCCCCTGGCTCTGACCACGCAGCCGTGGGCACTGACCCCCCGGCTCCAGGCATGCAGGCTTACTACCCCCTTCCCCCATTTGCCTTGGGCCCCTGCTGTCTCCCCTGCATCCATCACCCCAGGTCCTCACTGCCTCCCCCTCTAACCCCTCCTGCCCCCCATCATCCAGGCCTTAATTTGTCCTGGGGCTTGCTGAGAAAAGTGATATTAACAAACATGCAAATATCTCAGCCTCCCAGCTAGCTAATAAGTCTCCTGGGAAAAGTGATATGAACCAACAGACAAATACCACTTTTCACAGCACTATTTTTGTTGAGTCTGCAAAAACCCCACCAACCCTACATAAATAAGTGACTGATTTGGATGTGTAGATGTGCATATTTAAGTATTTTAGGGAAAAGTGTCTGTGGCCACTAGCAAGAGTTGGTGGTCACACTCTGAGGCCACCAAAAATTGTGTTGAGAACCCCTGCGCTAACCTCTCAGTGCTGGCTCCAAGTTTGGATGAATGTGATGTGAAGGGACTTTAATAGGCTACAACCCCTTTGTGAGACTAGGATAGCAGGGGGCTGCTGTGGGTCAGGATTGAGGGGCATTGGCAGGGCTGTGTGGGGAGAGCCGAGGGCGGGGATAGCAAGGGGCTGTGGGTTGGGATTGAGGGGCACTGGCAGAGCTGTGTGCAGGGAGCCCAGGCCTGGGATCTCAGAGGGCTGCAGCAGCTGGGTAAGTGGGCAAGGCCATGGGTGGGGAGGCTGCTCGGAGCCCGGTTCTCAGTCGCTCCACCAGTCCCACTTGCTAGGCAACTTACTCCTGCAGCCGCCCACCCCCATCCCAGGCAGGAGCTGAGCTGCACACATGCCCTGCCTCCCACCTCTGGTGCTCTCAGCCCATTTCCCTGGCTGCTGGTGGCTCCCAGACGCTTCCCTCCTGCCTGGCTTTCAGTGCTTGTTCCATCAGGCCACCTGCTGTCTCAGCAGCCCTGATGGCCAGGCCCAGCCCAGGAACATGCATGCTGGCCTGGGGCAAGGAAGGGAGGGGCAGGAATGTGAGTACAGGGTGGGGATGCTCCACCCCACCCCATCACAAAGTGCCTGCAACCAGGCTGGGTGTGGCCCTGGGATATCTCTGGTAACTGGCAACCTTTAACCCCCAGCTGCTTCATGGACTCTGGGTGTGGGTGTGTGTGTGTGTGTGGGGGGGAGACACTGCTTTCCCTGGTGCCAGAAAGGCAGCCACCTCTGGGGTGGAGCACAGCAGCTGTTCTAACAGCACCCAGCAACAATGTGGAGCACGTAACGGAGAATCCCGGAGGCAGCTGGACTGGGGAAGAGTGTGGGGGGGAGAGGAGCATTTATGGAGGTGCAGTGTAGGGAGCTGGGATTTGGGGAGCAGAATTGGGGGGAGGGGCCTAGCAGGAAAAGTACCCTGGGATCTTTAATGGCCTCAGGTGGCAAGTTAGTGTGCCCAAAAGCACCTGCCTCTAGCACCACAGCGGCGCTCTAGCGCCACCCAGGAGGCCCCCGGTCCTGGCCAGGCCTAGCCCTGCTCAGAGACTAGCAGAGAGGGCACGCCTCCAGTGCAGCCCAGCTGGAGTCTGAGCACCCCACCCCCGCAGGGGATTGACTGCTATAGCACTGCCCTTCCACATGAGCCAGTCCTCCTGCCCCTGGAGTATCCAGGTGGGAGCAGTATGCAGGTTGTTTCGGGGCACTGCACCTGCCTACCTCCTGCTGCAAGGTTCCACCCTAACCATTGGCCCTGTCTGGATTCCTCCCTCGCAGACGGACCTGGTCTCCACCATTGGCGAGAGCGCCGCCCTGGGGGCGGCTGGTGCCATCTTCTGGGGCGATGCAGACTACACCAAGAGCCAGGTAGGTACAGAGGGAGGACAGCTCCCCCTTCGCTCGCAGCAGGGAAGCATCCTCCTGCCATCTGAGCTCTGGTATCGAACATGGGGAGCACCTCTCAACAGTCCTGCTCCTGCCCCCGGTGGAGTCAAAAACTGAAATGGGATTGGGCCCGGTTCCCTGCTGGCATCTGCCTACCGCAGCCTGTGCTGAGTGAGCCAGGGGCTGCGCACAGCATGTGTTGTGGCCTTCCTGGATGCTCCAGTCTGTGCCCATGAGGTCTGAGCATCCCGTGGTGCCTGACCCCGGGCAATCAGTGGGGCAGAGGAAGCTGCCTGCCTCCTTGGGGCCCTGCCAATCCTGGCCTGCTTGGCATTTCTGCCTCCTGGCTCAGCCTGGGCCATAGGGTAGTGCCACCCCCTGCATGCAGCAATAGTGCTGCCAGCCCCTGGGGATCTGAAGGCAGGTGAAGGAACAATGCTAGCGCCTGGCAATGCTGTTGGTGTGCCCTGGTGGGCTTGAGCTGCCCCTGGGTTCCTAGCAGGGCCTGCCATGGCAGTCAGTTCACTGCTGCCCTCTGGCTCTCGCTCACCCCTCGTTCCCTTCCCAGAGCACCTGCCAGACCATCAAGGCCTACCTGGAGGAGGAGCTGGGTCACTACATCGTCAACGTCACCACGGCAGCCCAGCGCTGCAGCCAGGCGCTGTGCCAGGGCAGGGGGCGCTGCCGGCGCCGGGACAGCACCGCCAACGTCTTCCTCCACCTCAACCCGCTCAGCTTCCAGATCCGGCGCCGGGGCGAGGCCGACAGGCAGCAGCCACTGCTGCGGGCAGAGGGGGAGCTGTCTGCCACTGACACCGCCTATCTACGGACCCACTTCCGGTGCCAGTGTTACCAGGGCTGGCACGGGGACGAGTGCGAGCGGCAGCTGAGCACCCACAACAGTGCAGCCTGCCCAGCCTGTGCCACTCTGGGACTCCTGGTGCTGGGGTTCCTGGCCCGTTTGGACTAGTCTGGCCCCTTACTCAGGTCCTCGTGGCAGTAGGCCGTCTCCTGGTGCTTAGCATGGCAGGGACATGGGCGCAATAGGTGGCACTTGCAGTCAGAGCCCCGCGTGCCCCTCTATGGGGCCGACAGACTTGCAACCCAGGAGCCTTTTGTATTTCGTTTAGCGCCAATGTAGCGGATCTACTGGAGGTGGCCCCCTACCTCTGCCACTGCTGAGGGGGCGAGAGGCCCCTCCAGCCTTCCCTGCGGGCCAGCAGAGTGCTTGCAGCTGTGGGGGTGGGAGATGTTCCTGGGCAGTGATGCGGCGATAGGGGGCAGCCCGCAGCTAGGAGGGGCGGCGGGGGGAGATCTGCCCTGGTGTGGAAATACAAGGGCTGTGCCCTGGACTGGCTTCATCCCCCAGGGCCAGGTAGCTCCTTCCCTACTGCTGGGTGTGCCCCAGTGCGGAGCCTGGCCCCATGGTGTGTGGGTAGGGGGGTGATCATCCTTTCCCCAGCTCAGCAGAGGGACAGGGGACTGTCAACATGAGCTAAGCTGCACAGAGGGTGTGGGGTGCCCCCCAGCTCTACCCTAGGCTTTGTGGGGTGTGGAGGAGGGAGGGGATGGCAGGGCCCTTCTCCTGTTGTAAGGAGTGGGGCGGATATGCAGTGAGCAAAGGAGTGTCGGGGAGGCAAGGCCTGGTGTGACAAATACTGCTGTATGTGTCTGGAAACCCCCCTGGGGGCAGAGTTTATGGACTTGGGGAGGATATGCCCTTCCATGCCTGGGTGAGGCGGGGGCTGGGCCGGACGCCTGCCAGGAGCCAGCGCCCTGCTTCTGTCACTGAGAAACCAAAGTGCTTTATCTCACCATTAAAGGCGGAATGAGAGTGGGCGGCTGCTGTTTGCTTACGGCGCAGCTCCCCCTTGCCCTGGGAGCAGGGGGCAGCCCCATTTCCCGAGCCCTGCTGTGGGGGAGGCTGGGGCAGGTGCTCCGGGGGCTTTTGGTTTCCATGGGGTGGATTTGGGGCTGGCACAAAGGGACCAGCCCAGTGTAGGGTGCCCTCCTGGTACAGCAGGGCCCCTCTTGGCTGGCACAATGCCCGAGATAGGCAGGCAACTCTAGCTGAGTCAAGTCTGGACCATCCATCTCCCACCCCCCCGCCCCTGCTGACAATTCCCTGTTTTTCCTGGCCCCTGGTGTGTGACTCAACAGCCAGCGTGCATGGTACCAAGCACCCTTCCCTCCCCCGCTTACTGAGCTGCCCTCTGTTAGCTCCTGGCACAGGGCAAGGAGACATCTGCCCGTGAGGTCTCCTGCTCCTGTATGGCGTGCACTCTTGCCCTGGCTGGGCTGGGGCTTCCCGCTGGGCTGGGTTCCTTTGCCCCTGGGATGGCAGCACAAGACAGCTGCGGGGAAGGCTAGCTTGTGGAGGGAGCACTAGGGCTGGGAACTGGCGTGAGTCATGCCTGCAGCTCCAGGGCCAGGGAGGGGGTGGCGGGCAGCCCCATGTCTTCATAGCGCAGCCCCCAGCTAGGTCATTTATCATTCAGCCTGTGACTTGTTCCATGTACAGAGGCTGGTACCTCATGGGATGCCTGCCCCTTTGCCTGACCTCCAGGACTAGCCAGAGCCCCCTCATGCCAACATGTGTCCATAGAACTGCTGGTGGCCCTGCGTACTGACAGGCCAGGTTCTGCATGGATTCTCTGCTCCTGGCGGCTGAAATGCAGCCAGCGCTGGGGAGGAACGCAGGGGTGTTTTTGTTGCGTGCTGCAATGCTGCATGCTCGTTCAAGGCCAACAGTGAGGAGGAAAGCTGGGGCTGCTGAAACCACAGTGGGGGGTTTCCCTGGAAGCCATGTGGCTGGGGGCTCAGGGTTATTACAGGAGGCGAGACCCATCTCTGACAGCTGGCCCTGCTCATGCACTGCAGGGTGTTGCACTGAGCTACATGGCTCACCCCTGGCGAAGGGCCCCTGCCGTGGATTCTCTTGCTGACAGACCCCAGATCTGAGCGCTGGAAGCTTGGCTCAGTGGGGTGCCTGCTGCTCTGGGATGTTTCCCTTCCCCTTGGTCTCATGCCCCTCGGTATGGTGTGATGCCACTAGGGAGGGGGGCTGTCTTTGCCCACTAGTCTTTGTGTTCTCCTTAAACAGTGCGCATGCATTGGGTGCTACCCTTCCCCTCGCATACCACCACTGCCCCAGGCCCTGGGCGTGATCACCCTGTGTTGGGACCAGCACTAGGGGAGGGGCCTTGCTTTTACAGCTGGTCTGAAATACAGCAGCACCCAGGGAGTGGCACTGATTGACGGGAGAGTGCTCCCTACTGAATAACCCCCTCTGCTGCCTGCAACACAGCGCCCTGAGCACCCCATTGTGCTCAGCAGTGACTGAGGGGAGCGTGCCCCCTACTGAGCCCCTTTGCAGGCCTGGTGCTACTGGAAGGGTCTGGCGGGGCATTTGCCCCCCAGCAACTTTCTAGGGCCCCCAAATTATTGTCAGATAAGCCAAAACATGCCAGTCTTGATCCTTTCTATAATAGAAATCACAGCACAATAGCCAGGTGCTAAATTTTACTTTGGTAAACACTTAAAATCCAAGATTTCCTTGTGGTCCATTAACGCCTGGCCAGGGGGCTGTTTCCTGTTTCAGTGACATCCAGGGCCCCCAAAGTAGATCCAGTAATGAAACTCTAGAACAAGGGTTGGCAACCTTTGAGAAGTGGTGTGCCAAGTCTTCATTTACTGACTATAATTTAAGGTTTCGCGTGCCAGTAAGACATTTTACATTTACAGGGGCCAGTGGACGGAACCCCAGACCGGCAGCAGGGGCAGCAGATGGAGTCCCAGACCGGCAGCGGGCTGAGCTGCTCTGCCCGCTGCCGGTCAAGGGTTCTGGCTGCCGGCCCCTTGCCAGCCGGGGTCCCGGCCGCTGGCCCCGCTCAGCCCACTGCTGGTCTGGGTTCTGGCTGCCGGCCCCTTGCCAGCCGGGTCCCGGCCGCTGGCCCCGCTCAGCCCACTGCTGGTCTGGGTTCTGGCTGCCGGCCCCTTGCCACTGGTCCCCCCTGGCCCCCCAGCCCACTCTGGTCTGGGTTCTGCTGCCCCCCTTGCCAGCCTCCCCCTGCCCCCCAGCCCACTGCTGGTCTGGGTCTGGCTGCCCCCCTTGCCAGCTGGGGTCCCCCCTGCCCCCCAGCCCCTGCTGGTCTGGGGTCTGTCCGTCGGCCCCTTGCCAGCTGGGGTCCCCCCTGCCCCCCAGCCCGCTGCTGGTCTGGGGTTCTGTCCGTCCCCCTTGCCACTGGTCCCCCCTGGCCCCCTCAGCCCACTGCTGGTCTGGGTTCTGGCTGCCGGCCCCTTGCCAGCTGGGGTCCCGGCCGCTGGCCCCGCTCAGCCCGCTGCTGGTCTGGGGTTCTGTCCGTCGGCCCCTTGCCAGCTGGGGTCCCGGCCGCTGGCCCCGCTCAGCCCGCTGCTGGTCTGGGGTTCTGTCCGCCGGCCCCTTGCCAGCTGGGGTCCCGGCCGCTGGCCCCGCTCAGCCCGCTGCCGGCCCCTGCCAGCTGGGGTCCTGGCTGCTGGCCCCGCTCAGCCTGCTGCTGGCCTGAGCTTCCATTCATCCACGCAGGCAGTGGGCTGAGCAGAGCCGGCGGCCGGGACCCCGGCTGGCAGCAGAGTGCCACTAAAAATCAGCTTGGTGCCGCCGGTTGCTGACCCCTGCTCTAGAACAAGCCCTGCACCCACTTATACTCCCTGCAACACAGCACCAGCTCCGAGTACCCCACCCCACTTCTATAGCAGCTGGGGGTTGTGGGGTGGTCACCCACCCAAGTCTTGGCTAGCCCAGCCCTGCTTAGTGTGTGCCAGCCAGCAGGTGCACAGGCAAGGTTGCTGTAGTATCACATAGTTGGCTCCTCTCTGCCAGGGTCACTCCTGGTGTCTGAGGTTTGTGTGTGTTTTTTCAGGGCATGTGTGTCCCATGATGCTTTGGGGTACGTTTTCGGGGGGCAACAGAGCCCGACAGGGCTTTCCGGTAGCCCTGTTAGAAAAAGTCCAGGCGTTGCAGCCACGGTGGGCCCATGGGGAAGGGCTCCAGCAGCTTGCCAAGCTTGGGCCCGTGCCTGGATGGGATGGAGATGGGGTCAGGAGGGGGAGGGCAGCTGAGTGGCTGCCACTTACTCTTGTTACCTACCAATAATTTCAAAGGGGAGACTGGGCCTGACTTGCGTGCGGTGCTGGCCTTCCAGTGCAGTTTGCAAGAATGGCCCCCCTTGTTCCAGGACAGAGACGGGGAGGAAGGGGAAGGAAGAAGAGGGGGGATGGGAGAGATGAGGGGACAGAGGGCTCCGTGCTGACTCCCACCCCTGCCAGGCACCATGCCCCAAAGCACCATGGGACAGAGTGAGGGGAAGGGATTATGTGGGGGTTGAGGCAAGGGTTCAGTGGGGAAGGAGGGGTTTGTGCAGCCAGCGGGGTGGGGGCTGAAGCGGGGGAAGGGAAAGGGGAAGGCCATGGGCTCCTTTTGCTGGGTGTCCATGGGGCAGGCCCAGCAGCCCGTGCGCTCTCCCTCCCTGGAGGTTTCCCAGCCCAGCTCCCCTTGGCAATGCTGGCCTCCCTGCTGCCCGGGCATGTGCCTGTGCCCCAACCTTGCCCCTCACGCTGTGCTCCCTGCTGGCACTACCAGCCTGCTGCCCACCCCTATGGCTCCTGCTTCCAGCTTTGGCAGGAGCTGAGCTTGGGCAGCCAAAGCAAACACAGCCCAGGCCAGCGTGGGGAAACCTCCCCAGGGCCTAGAGCAGGGCTAGTGCCCTGCCCTGGCTGGAAGGAGGGGACAGCTGCTGTCTGGCAAGGCCTGACTTCCACTGGCTTCTCCAGTGCCTGCATGAGGGGGCCTTCACAAGACCCAGTTCTGGGTGTGATGGGAGCCTGTGCTGGCCCGAGGGGGAGCCCCCTTGTCCTTCAACACATGGTGCAAGGGGTTAACGCCAGAGAGGGGCACAAGGACCTTGGCACATCCCGAGAGTGGGTACAGCATAGATGGGAGCAGGGCAAGCACGACACACCCTGCCCTGGAGGGCCCATAGGTGCCATTTCAATGACCCACCCAGTCTGTAGCCACCCAGCTTAGGTGACCAATGAGATGGTTTGTGTGATGTTGAGACCTGCTTGCTACGGGCAGGCCGGAGCCCCCTCCCCACTCATCACACAACTGGTACTGCCAGCTGGAGCCTCTGAGCAGCCTCTTCACTGGCGACCCTAGGGAAATCAGATCCACTGGTTGCAGCCAAGCAGAGATGCATCCGCTCCCCAAAATTACTGTCCAGAGTGCAACCATTTAGCTGTCTGTTCAGAAGAGGCCTGTGGCTAGGATAGACAGGGCACCATGAAGCCAGGCTGAGGGGCACCGGCAGAGCTGTGGGGTGTGGGGAGCCCCAGGCTGGGCTAGTGGGGGGCTGTGGGTCAGGACTTCAGTGCATTGGCAGAGCTGCATGGGGAAAACCTACAAGGGGCTGTACCGGGAAAACCTTGCCGGGTGCCTGCCACCCTTGTGTCTCATTCCAGCCAGCCCCATTTGTCCCCTTTGACCAGCTGTAAAATCCAATTCATTTGCAACAGCCCATAGAATGCAGGCTCTGGAGGAGATGCTGGGTTATGACCTGCTCTGGGAGGCTTCACAGCTCGCTAGTGCTTTTCTTGGCCCTGGATTTGCTCTCCTGGGTGCGGGGCGATGCAGGGGTTAGACCTGAGCCTTTGCTTTCCACTTCCCCATGTGAGCCAAGAGCCTGAATTACTCTCCTCCTCTTCCCCCCCACCCCGATCCGGCTGATGGGGGTGTGTGTGTTTTCTCCCCACCTACCCGCCCCCATGCAGTCTGACCCAGATCACTTCAGACCCTTT